ATGGGAAAAAATTCCAAGTTCTATGTTGTCTAACCTTGTTTCATCAATGAATAATTGTTGCCAGATGATAATTGATAGTAATGGCGAATGAATCAATTATTAATATATATATCAATAAATTTCTTGGTTTTTAGGCTTTTAAACAAGCTATTGTATTCTCAATTTAAATAGATATTTATCAAATTATTATAAATAAACAGAGGTCTATTTTTTTTGTTACACACTGTATAATAATCCCAACTATAAAAAATATAAGAGCTTTGTCTCCTGGATTCTTATTCTGTTATTCTAATAATTCTCTATATCTATTAAAAAGAAAGAATTAATCATTTGTTGTAATAAAAGAAAGAATTCTTTATTTACTTGTTACTTGAATTATTATTTTACTAAATTTTATATTGTAGTGATCACGTGAAAGTCACGGTGTGTACTTAGAGAGGATGGTTTTATATAAATGGGATCAGGAAAAGACCGCGCAGTGCAGAACATAGAGGGAGTGCACTTATCCCTAAGTCCCGAGCTTGGGACTGGGACACAGGGCGCATTTATGGAGGAGGTACCCTTATGGAGGGTTGACTGTATTTATTTCATGAATAAAAATATATGGCCAAGTAAATAGGTTATTTGCACAGCTTTGGAAGAGTTATCAATACTTGGAAAACGAACGATTTCCAATAACGAGTATTATAAATTTGAACACATCTATCACTATATAAAACAAATAAAATTCATAACCACGTATTGTTAGCATTTCTTTGACTATATCATATTCCATGAGCATTTGCTTGTTGACAATGTTATTGAAAAGATTTTTTTGATCTTTCGAGTAAATACTTTGCCATTATCATTATTAGCAGAAGCTACTTTTTGAACTAGATGAATACTTCACTTTTGTTAATGTTGCTGAGATTGTTTGTTGCGTAGCTATTTTTAATATTCTTGTTTTTTTGTTTTTATTATTTTTTAAAAAATACAAATTTCTCTTGTTCCTTCTGATCAGCCAATAAAAATTTGTAACAAGGAACATGGAACAACTTTTAAAAAACTAGTAGTAATGTTTGTTTATATTGAAAGCAATTTCAAAAATTTTTACAGCCTCGTTTATTGAAACATTAGGAATAGTTATACTACTTACAATAACATCCTCCCCTTCAATAGAATTAAGAATTCCCTCCCATTATTCTCATCATTATCAATTTACAACTTATATATATATAAATTGAGAATTATTCGTGTAAAAATCATTATTTAGAAATGGAAAAATTTTGATTAATATTATTGCATTTAGAAATTTTGAAAATTATTTGTATAAAATCATTATTTGGGAAATACACAGTGAATCTTGATTTAGCGGATACTAATTAAAAATCTCGGCTTTACGGATAAAGTTCAAAGAACGGTTCCATAATAAACCTTAATAAAAAACCTTCTCGATATAGCGGATATCTCGGTTTAACAGTTTTTTCCTTTCACTGTGTATTATTTAATAATGTGTGTTTGTAGAAATTTGAGGATTATTATTATCTAGGAATATGATATTTATTATTTAGTAAGTGTTTATTTTTGAGATGAAGGGATTTTGGAAATTTGAATTGATCTTAATATAGTAATGTGGATTTATTTTTTTATTTGGGAAAACGTATATCACGTGAACCCGTTGTAGCGCGATTAGTGATCCTACCAAAAAATCCGTTGTTAGTTGAAACGCGATTTAAATATAAAATCCGTTGAAACGAGAATGAATTATAATTAATAAAATCAAGGGTAAAAACAAAAATCCATCGAAACGAGGGTTCAACTGTAGAAACAAGAAGAAACAACAAATTTGTTGTTTCTCTGTTCCTTCTTATCAGCCAATAAAAATAAGGTTTGATCGTGTAACGAGGAATAGGAAGCAGGAATACTTTGAACACACTGCAATTTTTGTAACTTTCATTTCCACCCGTGACACATTCTATAGACTCTGCCGTTCGCCTTCCTGCTTTAACTATCGCTGATGTCGTTATTATCAAAAATCAGATTTCACGTATATTAATAACTGATAATCTAATTTTCTATTGAAAATTGGAAATTTGCTGTTGATCATAAAAAGTAAATATTAAAACTAATCGGCAAAAGTGCTAACGGTTATATACTGTATATATATCTGGGTTATTAAAAAATGATATTTAATATAAATATATATTATTGATATGAATTAATTTTATTAATAAACAACAAGAGCAGAAACCTTTTATCTTTCATATAGTTGTTAAAAATCAGATATTGAATAATTGTTGGTAAGAATAATAATTACATACACACATATATGTTTCTGGCAGTTGGACGTTTATTTGGGTTAGCATCGATATAAAGTTGGAATATTATTTGAAAATCTGGTCTTCACTTTTTTACTTTACTATTACTATATAGCTTACTGTTCGAATGGAACGTCCAGGTTCGAACCATATGAACTATCAAATATTTGTTGCTTTTTAGTAGAAATTTTCGGTGTAAAGCTGTTGTATGATCTTTTTCCCAAAGATATTTTTTAGATATATTGTGCATGATGCGCACTGCCGATTTTTTTTTATTTTAAAAAAAAAATTTTTAATATTATTAAAAAAAACAAAACAGATTTTAATCACTAACTTTTAGTCACTGATTCAGATGTATATACATCATTATCATTATTTTCACTTCACTAACATCATCTTCATTTTCATCATCTTCCTGTCCTCATTATCATTGCCAGTATCATTAGTGTTTCTATTGAAATTATCTTTTAATTTATTTGGATTTTTTTGGATTTTTGTAATTATAATTAAAATAAATAAACACTAATTAGAAAACCATACCAGATGTTAGTCTATTTCTTTTTTTATCATGTATATATGAGAATGCAGACCAATTTCTTTCAGGTGCTGCTGAAGATGTAGGATTGAAAGAATTTGTACAGCAAGATTAGTCAGTTCAGGGGCAACTATGAAAAATTCCCTTTCCACCATGTTACCAAATCTGCTTCATCTATAGTTGACCATGCTAAAGAATTGTCAAACAAGCTAGTATTTTGTTTACAATGTAGTAATTGTGACCAAATTTTTCTTGAGTCATTTGGATAATATTTCATAATAAAAAAAAAAAAATTTGCATTACATTTATTACTATGTACAAAAAAAAATTACATGCGCATGATTTCAAAAATTACGTGCGCATTGGAACATCTCTAGGTGCATTGTTTTTATAAGAGTTAATGATTTCAGTTAAAGCTGACATTTTGAGCTTTCAAAAATTTATTAAAAATTAAATTATATTCAGAACAATATAATATTTATTCAAGACATGTGTATTTACAATTGATCTTTTTGAAGCGAGAAATATTTGTCGGCCAAAGCTTATTTTTTTTAATTATTAAAAGAGTGTAACACAATAATTCTTAATAATAATACCCATAATCTCCAACAAATTCTAAAATAATGTGTAAAGAGTTAAAAGAAAGAACCTTGACAGTTTAAGAAAAAAGATTTATGTGGGTATATTTGTCGATATTTTTTTTTAATCGTTCATGAATTTTTAAATGTAGAAATGCACCCCGTCGATCATCAATTAATATTAACATTCAAATTATTTAAACCGTTTTCCAATTTCCAATTTATACTTTCTGAACAAGTACTGACTGAACTATGTCAATCCCAAGCAATATGATTTCAATTAGTAATTGGATATGTCTATATCCTGTATATTTTGACTCAACAAAAACAGTCCAACGAGGAAGAAGAATAACACAAAAAGAGGCTGTGAAACATCCATTGGCTAAAGATATTGCAGAAGTTGTAAAATCTTTAGGTTTAAATTGTGCTCTTGAGGTGATTTACAAGTGAATGAATGATTTTTAGAAAGAAAAGGTTCCAATTATTTAATTCACACTCACATTCATATTGTTATTTTAAATGAGAAAAGCCACATAAAACACACCCTCAAGACTGGGAAAATCCTGGAAGGGTAAAAGTAGAATTGTTTAATGAAAAAAAATCACCAATAAGATATGAAATACCAACACGTAAGCCTAATGGCAATAATTAAGAACCGTTTTTTGATAATAATAAATGCTAAACATATTTGTTTATCAATTCAATTAGGTAAAGTGTTAATTAAAAATGTGGCAATATTATTAGCTAAAATCCAACAAGAAAGTCCACAACAATTTCCTCCACCACATTCCCCAGCTGTATTTGATAGTAATTCTAGTGATTCTACTTCAATGTCTAATCCAAATACATCTACCTCTACCACAACTCCAGTATCATCATCGTCAAGCGGAATTGCAGGTACAACCGGAAGTTCAAGTTCTAACTTAAAAAAGAAAGGAAGAAAGAGCAAAAAATAACAACTTAATTTTTAGAATCTTGAAAATTTTATTATGTATATTTATAATACAATAATCAATTTTAATTAAAAACTTTTCTCCAAAAAAAATATAATTTACCTTTATAATTATAATTATTATTATTTTATATATATTTTATTATTCCACCCATTTCTCTTTCACAGTTATTATTCATATTAATACCATTACCATTAAAATTATTGATCGTTTGTCACATAAAGTATAAGCTTCGTCTATATAACTATACCAAAACTTTTTCTGATGGATAGTTTTGTGTAACATTGCACAAATTCAATATGTCACACGTTATTGTTGATTCTGAATATTATCAGAAGAACCCACAGACAGACATTACATTTGACATTTGACATTCTATAACTCAAATCTACTAGCTACATAATATACATAATATTAATTTAAAACTTGTTAATTGATAAATTAATTAAGATTAAAAATATCAAATAGTGAAATAGTAAGAAAAGTGGACCAAGTGTAACAATCAATACTAATATCTTCAGCAACAAATCCATTTAGTTTTCAAGAAATGAAATTTTATTAAAATAGGATCAAATTATTATATAAAAAGATTTTTCTTTAAAGTTTGTATATATAATCATATAATTATAATTAAAATTCAAATATAAATATCTGAAACTTCCAAATCTTCAATTTCTGCTTTAACAAGATGTTTTCCTGGAATCATAACAAGCCCAACAAATCTTTTTTGTTCTGTTAAACATTCCATATTTTCAAATTACAATACAAAATTTTAATATTCAATCTTTTTAAAAAATTTTTTTAATTAGATAGAGATTTTACCATTTCGAAACTCTTCTGTTTGTGATAAAATTATATTTTTATATTTGTCTATGCACATAAAAGTTCCATTAAATATACGACCATCTGAAATTGTAATTCGAGCTCTAAGATTTAAATAAGAACGAAGTTGTTGAATTTTAGGTGTGTCTTGTGATATCTTTGGCATATCTGCCATATTATTTTGATTTGTTTTTTTATTTACACCTAATTTGATCAGCAAAATCAAAAAATCAAAATGAAAGAACTTGTTCTTGAACAAGCCCCAAGAAAAATTTAAATTATCATTGAATCCTCTAATTTTATTTTCATGTTATTAATTGCTAAATAAATTCGATCTTTTTTCTTTAGTAAACACATCCAATTTAGTGTACTTTCTCCACAAGAAATTGTTAAAAATGCACATTTGGCAATTACACATCGAGATCTATTCAATGATAATAGAGCTCCAATGGAAAACGGTGTCTTAGATACACGTTTAGTAAGTTGCAAACAATAACTCTTTTATCAAAAATCCTTTTTGTTAAAAGATTTTATTAACAAAGTATCTTATAGGGTACCTCTGATCATGATAGGTCATGTGAAACCTGCGGTGAAAAAATGGCACAATGCATTGGCCATTTCGGTTATATTAAATTGATTTTACCAGTGTTTCATATTGGTTATTTCAAAGCTGTTATACAAATGTTACAAAATATTTGCAAGGTATTTGAAAAAAAATTTAATTTGGGATTATTAGATAAATATCTTTAATTAGTTAATATTATCATTAGACTTGTAGTCATGTATTACTGGAGGAAAATGATCGTAGATTATTCCTTAAGAGACTAAGAAGCTCAAAAGAAGCACCATCAAGGCAAAAAATTGAAAAATCTGTAAATGCATTATGTAAAAAGACTGTCGAATGTCCATATTGTGGTGCAATTAATGGTTCTGTGAAAAAAGTTGGTGCAATAAAAATTATTCATGAAAAATACAAATCAAAAAAAGCTCAAGAAGAACATGAAAAATTTAAAATTGCCTTTGGAAATGCTATTGAACATACACCTGAATTAAAATCTCATTTACATAAAGCACAGGATGACTTAAATCCTTTAAAAGTTCTGGAGCTATTCAAAGGGATTTCTGATGAGGTAATTTACATAAAATTTTTTTTTTTCAATGCAACCTTTAAATTATTTATTTCCCAAATTGTTTTAACTTGTACCTTTTTAAAAGGATTGTGAATTACTTGGATTGGATCCAAAAAGTTCTCGTCCAGAGTTATTTATATGGCAACGTGTCCCTGTTCCTCCTGTTGCAATTCGACCCTCAATTGCACAAGATAACGCAAGGTACTTATATTTAACTTATATTTGTATCAATATATATATTTGTTTATTCACCAATTCATTGCTACTATACTATTTTTTTGAAATAGTACAGAAGATGACTTAACTGTAAAATTGTCAGAAATAGTTCAGACAAATACTAATATAACAGCTGCACTATCTAAAGGAGTTACTATTTCACAATTAATGGTACATTATTAATAATATAATTATTATATTTTATCTCAACTTTTTATGGTTTGAATTTAATATTAAATTTTGATGATTATCAAATAGGAACAATGGGATTATTTGCAACTTACAATTGCAATGTACATAAATAGTGAGATGGCAGGATTAGGAAATATGGCGGTATATATAATTATTATGTTTATATATTGAAGTTGGGCCAAAAAAAATAATTTAATTATCATTTATGTTTTATTTATATAGGGGATAAAACCAAGTAGAGGTTTATGTCAGAGATTAAAAGGAAAACAAGGCAGATTTCGTGGAAATTTGTCTGGTAAACGTGTTGACTTTTCTGGCCGTACAGTTATATCACCAGACCCAAATTTACGAATTGATGAGGTATATATATATATATGTGTATTTCTTTTAAATTTTTGGATAATCATATAAAGATTGATTAGATATATATATGATATTTTATTAGGTTGCAGTACCAGAACTTGTTGCAAAAATTTTGACATATCCAGAAAGAGTTTTTGCTCATAATATTGTAAAATTACAAAAATGTATTATAAATGGTGCAGATATTCATCCTGGTGCTAATTTTATTAAACATAAAAATGGTGGCAAGAGGTATAAAAAATGTTGATTTATATATTTGTAAGTGAAATATTAGTTAATTTTATTGTTATTTTTAATTAGGTTTGTGAAATATGCTGATCAATCAGTAAGAGAAGCAATTGCTGCTGAACTGCAAATTGGTGATGTGGTGGAGCGTCATCTGAGAGATGGGGATGTTGTCTTATTTAATAGACAACCTTCTCTTCATAAACTTAGTATAATGGCACATTATGTAGTGTAATTAAATTAAAGAATTTTTTTAATATATATATATCAATACATAATTTTATTACAAAAAGAAAGAATTAAATATTAAAGTTTCTAATTTTTATTTTTTTAAAGGTTAAAGTTAAGCCGTGGAGAACTTTTCGATTTAATGAGTGTGTTTGTAATCCTTACAATGCTGATTTTGATGGTGATGAAATGAATCTTCATGTACCTCAAACTGAGGAGGCACGTATAGAAGCAATAGAACTTATGGGTGTCAAAAAGAACCTAGTAACTCCAAGAAATGGAGATCCTATCATTGCAGCTATTCAAGATTTTGTCACATCCTCTTTTTTAATTACTAAAAAAGATGTCTTTTACAATCGTGCACAATTTTTACAAATCTGCTCATATATGGCAGATGCTGCTATACACATTGATATACCACCACCTACAATATGGAAACCTGTTAAACTATGGACTGGAAAGCAAGTATTTAATGTATTAATGCGTCCTAATAAAAAATCTAGTGTGTTGGTTAATCTTGAAGCTAAAGGAAGGCTATTTGAAAAAAAAGAAGGAAGGATTTTTGATCTTTGTCCAAATGAGGGTTATGTAGTTATTCAGAATAGTGAGATAATGTGTGGTGTTATTGATAAATCTTTAGTAGGTGATGGTAATAAACATTCACTGTTTTACACAATACTTTGTGATTATGGATCTGAGGAAGCAGCTAATGCTATGAATCGTTTGTCTAAATTATGTTCACGTTGGTTGGGTAATTATAATGAAAAATTTCAGTTCATAAAAAAAATTCAGTAATTCTGAATTAAACTAAAACTTTGCATCTATAACATAAAACAGCAAATCATGGTTTCTCAATAGGAATAAATGATGTTCAACCTGGTGAACAGTTAAGGGAGAAAAAAGATCATCTGATTGAAATGGCAAATAAAGCATGTGATGATCTTATTGAACTTTCAAAGTCTGGTAAATTGGAAAATCAGCCTGGGTGTAATGAAGGGCAAACACTTGAAGCTCATATTTCTGGTGTTCTATCAAAAGTCCGTGATGATGCTGGTCAGATTTGTATGACTGAGCTAAACAGACACAATTCACCTTTAATTATGGCCACATGTGGATCAAAAGGTTCTTTTGACTTAATTAAAGTTTATTCTTTAATAATAATATATATCTATTTACATATATTCAATTTTTTGATTTTTATTGTAATAATAATTTCGAATTTTATTATAATTTAGGCTCAAAAATTAATGTTTCTCAAATGGTTGCTTGTGTTGGTCAACAAATTATAAGTGGTAGTCGTATTCCTGATGGATTTCAAGATCGTTCACTGCCTCATTTTCCAAAACATTGTAATTATGTTGATTATGATTATGTTAGATAATAAATCATTTAAAATATATACAAAGTTTATAAAATTATTTGTTATTATTTATAGCAAAAACACCTGCTGCAAGAGGATTTGTTCGAAACAGCTTTTATAGTGGTCTAACTCCTACAGAGTTTTTATTTCATGCCATTTCAGGTCGTGAAGGTCTTGTGGATACTGCTGTAAAAACTGCTGAAACTGGTTATATGCAAAGAAAATTGATGAAGGTATTATTATTGTTTGTTTAATAATTGTAATTTTTTAATTTTTTTCTAGATTAATTGTGTGTGTACAACAGGCCTTAGAAGATCTTGTGATTCATTATGATATGTCTGTTAGGAATTCATCAGGTGGAATGGTCCAGTTTTATTATGGTGATGATGGTTTGGACCCAGCATTTCTTGAAGACAATGTTTTACCAGTAGACTTGAAACGAAATTTACAACATGTTATTGTAAGCAATAATATATAACACTTTTGGTTTTATTATTTTTTTTTTTTTGTTTTCACTAAAAAATATTAAAGCTAATAATAAATCTTTTTATTTCTAGAATATTACTTCATCAGTAAATGAGAAAGCTCTTTTACCATTTGAAATATTAGAAATAACAGAAAAAATATTAGAAAGTAAAAATTATGTGGAATCATGTACAGAATCATATATAAACTTATTGAAGGAATTTATTAAAAAAGAAATTGTTGATAAACTTGTTGCAACGCGTGAAGCATATGGATTAATGAGATGTAATGAAAAAATTGATGATGAATACTTGGATGTTGAAATGGCATGTGATGGTATATCTCTATTTTATTTTTATCTAAAATAAAATTATTTTACAATTGTTTAATAATAACATTTACTTTGGTTGATTTAGCTGTTATGAAGAATGTTGTAAATAATGTACTTAAAATTACCAAATCACAGTTATTAAAATTTTTAGATGTAAATTTATACAAATTTATAAGATCAAAAATTGAACCAGGTAAAACAATTTTTCCACTTATAAAAAAACAATTTAAGTTTTGAATTATGTTTTACCATCAAATTTTTACCATTTATAGGGACTGCTGTTGGAGCACTTGGTGCACAATCCATTGGTGAGCCTGGTACTCAGATGACTCTTAAAACTTTTCATTTTGCTGGTGTAGCCTCTATGAACATTACTCTTGGTGTTCCACGTATAAAAGAGATTATTAATGCTTCTAAAACAATAAGTACACCAATAATTACTTGTAAACTTGTTAATGATGTTGATGTAAAATCTGCTAGAATTGTAAAAGGTCGTTTGGAGACAACTTATTTGGGAGATGTAAGCAAATTTTAAAGTACTGCTTCTATATAAATATAATGATAAAATCTTATTCTATATATGCTTTAAATTTTTTTTTAATGAGTATAGATTGCCAAATATATTGATGAAATTTATGAACAAGATCAATGCTATCTAGCAATAAAATTAGACTTAGATGCAGTTAAAAAACTTCAGGTTTGAATTTTAATTTTTTAATTTGTAATTGTTTAATCAATTATTTAAATGCAAATATATTCAAATACATTTATAGTTGGAAACCAATATAAAAGATATTGCAAAGGCAATTGTTAATGATCGAAAGTTAAAATTGGAAAGTGTAAGTGATTTATAATTGTTTTTTTTTGAATAACACTATAATAATACTCAAAAACTCTTTTTTCACTTTACCATAATACAGTCTAATATTCGAGTTTATTCTAATGATCAAATCAATGTGTATGTACCTGATAAAGAAATAATGAAAGATCCATGCTGCCTATATTATAGATTACAGGTACTTAAACGTGCTTTACCCAAAGTTATTGTTAAAGGTATTCAAACTGTAACAAGAGCTGTTATCAGTGAAGCAAAAGCAGATAGGAAACAATTACTTGTTGAAGGATATGGTTTGCGAGATGTAATGACAACCGAAGGTATTGTAGGTACTGAAACAACCAGTAATAATGTTAACGAAGTTCACAAAGTTTTGGGAATTGAAGCAGCTAGGTAATAATTTTTTCATTTATTTGATTTTGTTGATTAGAAAAATTATAAGATTTTTTTTTCTTAAACTTAGGAATACAATCATTCAAGAAATTCAATATACTATGGGTCGCCATGGTATGAACATTGACCCAAGACATGTTATGTTACTGGGTGATATTATGACATACAAGGTAAGGTGATTGTTATATAGTTATTGATTACATATATGTGTGTTTATATTTTTTTAATCTGTAAATTATAGGGAGAGGTGTTGGGAATTCATAGATTTGGTATATCAGATATGAAGAGTAGTGTGCTGATGTTGGCATCATTTGAAAAAACAACAGATCATTTATTTGATGCAGCTTTGCATGGTAAAACAGATTGTCTTGAGGGTGTTAGTGAATCAATTATCATGGGTATACCAATGCAACTTGGGACAGGATTATTTAAGTTGATAAGAAAATCCCACTTAGGTGATGAAAGGCCACAAAGAAGAAAATTATTATTTGATAATAGTGAACATCACGTAAATTTCTTATATGATTCATCACAAGTTTTATAGCTGATAGTAAAATGTTTAATTTTTAAAAATAAATAGAAAAAAAATTACAAAATAATTAATTTATAAAATTCATTTAATGTAATTAATCGTGCGCCATGTATCTAATTAAAACTAAGTTAATAATTAATAAATTAAACTTTAGTACATAGAAATTATTTTGCGTATGACTATAAATGGAAATATAATATAAATTATATACTTTCGCGGTCTAATTCAATTAGATACGGGAGGTAATTGTTTTTTTTCAATTGCTTATTTATTTTACTATGTAATTTATTTGAAATAACCAATAAAAATAATATCGGAAAAAAAAATAATATAAATTTTATATATTAGTATTAGTATATATTAACAAATAATAAAAAAAAAAAATCTAAAATTTCTATGACTCTTGGTAAAACAATCCAACTAGATAAATATTCTAAATATTTTAAGAGAAGACCTTGCAGAATCGTTCGTTTTATAAATTTTGATTTAAACATAGTTGTACTGTTGGGATGCTGGAAAAGGACAGGGGATGAGTCACTGTGCCACACCCGTACCTTGTTAATTGCCAGTCCTTTTTTATACTATTTTGCAGAGCACCGTACCATTGCCCATCCTTTTCATGTGTTCCGTTGTGGGTTTCTATAAATAACTTCTTTAACAACCTCTTAAAAAATAAAAATTGCCTCGCCTATAACAAGACCGTCTTGGTAGCCTCTATATACATCAATTGCTGATTTGCAGAATATATTGGCAACCTACTTCTCTCAAATCCCAATTTAGTCCTAATTAGAGGCCTGCATCGGGTTGGTCGGGTTGGTCTTAACATCAAATAACTTCGGGTCGGGTTCGGGTTGTAATTATGACCTGAATTTGACCCGAATTTAAATGAATTATATATATATATATATTAGCCATTTTTTTCAATCCTCTTATGAAAAAATTGAAAAAATTGGAGTCTGATGATGCCATCTGGGTAAAAAATGAAATTAAAAGACATTGTGGTAATCTAACAATTAATGATGATAGTGTTGATGCTGACAGTAATAATGATGATAATTCTATGCAAGCAATATCATCCAACTACAATTTCAACTTCAAATTCAAATGTAGAGTTAGGTGATTTTAGCAAATATTATGATGATAGTGATGATGAAGATGATGACAAAGATGATGTTGATTTGTATTTATCAACAAAAATACAAAAAGATGATAACTTTAATATTTTAGAATGGTGGAAAGATCATCAACATGTTTATCCAAGACTTTCAAGGCTTGCTGTCTATTATATGTTCCAGTGCACCTAGTGAATAGAGTTTAGTGCAGCTGGACTTACAGTTAATGAGCTTCGCTCAAATTTAAATCCACAAACAATTGATAGTATTCTTGTATAAAGAAGCTCATTATAGTAAAATTTTCTTTCTTGTAACGAACAATTGCAATAAGAGTTATTTTTTAAATAAAATCATGTTACAACGTTGTTAAAAAACAGGTTGAGTTCGGGTTTGGATTGAAATTTCTTGTGTATATACAAGTCGGGTTCAGGTTGCAAATTATAAATTTATATGGGTTCGGGTTGGGTAACCATTCAATTATGATGACCCGTGCAGGCCTCTAGTCCTCATTGCCACCGCAAATTCCAAATTGGGCTTTTAGGATCATTTCTTCGATAATGTCAGGATCTCTGTATCGCATTACTCTGGTCTATTCGTCCTTTTTTAATTTCGTTTCAATTATGACGAGCGTATTTTGATGCTGTGTTTTTCAATGGAATATTTGTTTGTTGACAGACTGAGCAATAGAGCCATTCCCCAATCAATATGGAAAAACATTAGCGGATAAAAAATCATGTGAGCGTGAAGATTCTTCATGCTGATGGCAAGAAAAATTCAATAAATTATTGATCATATGGGTTCCATGCTAACAAAAAGATAGTTCGGGTTCAAGAACCCCAAAATGAGTTGTTGATACCACTATATTCTTTGAAATAAGGATTATAATTTGGTATAATTTTTATTGACATTCAATTAGTAAAAAATTGTGTAATTAATCCATAAAGTTATATTGAATACTGACCCCAAAATCCTTCTTTGATATAAAAAAGGAAATGATCTACGACGATTAAAATAAAGATAAAAACAAACTAACCCTACATTTATTTAAACTACTGTATTTGTATAATTAAAAATGACTTATATATCTACTTTATATAAAAAATCAAAGATTTAGTGGATTTTTCCAATAATCCCATTTGAAACCTTTAAATGGTTCTCCATTATTTTGTATACATTTGAGAGCTCTAAAGACTCCAATATGCTCAAGGAATCCTGCTTTTTTTACAAAAGTCAAGTAGGGTTCATTATCCAATTTGAAGTGTTTTAATCCTTTGCATTCTACCACAGAACTTTTAAAAAAAAATAGATTATTAATTGGAAATATATTTAACATATATAAAAATATGAATGAATTTTGCACATACTATGTCATATCCTCAAAATATTTTACAAGGAAATTGCCTTCAAGTAACAATTGATCGAGATCACAATTAAAATCCATACTCTCATCCAGTTCATCATTCGGAACAATCTAAAGTAGAAACAGTTAATAATTTTATGATTCCAATAATTCATTTATTTCATTCAATAAAAAACTTACCATTGCAGGCCACCAAAAACTAGCATTTTTATCCAAAGGGTCAACTATATAAATATAAAAACATTATGTATGTGAGCATCTATTCTTCTAAATATCTAAACATATGACTAGACAATGATCTTGATATCTTTCTTT